TATTTATTTTCCGTAGGGGGGTTAAAGGGGTATTGAAATTAAATCTCAAAATATGAGATTATTTCATATTTAAAATCTTGGCCGTGTCCAAGTAAAAATTTGGTGCCTTGTGCACCGGTATTTAATTCTAACGAAAAATTATTTAGTTTCGTTAGGATAACGCATTGTCATCCGCGATTTGGCTCTTGTTGCCCGTCTTATACGTTAAATTTATATTTATATTACAGAGCCTTGTTAAAACTCTTATATTTGATACACGCTGGCTTAAAAAATGCGTTTGTTTACCAACATTAATATATATAACAGAGAAAAGTATAGAATCGAAAGGATCTGAATAGCTCAGCTGGAAGAGCAGTCGCCCGGCAAGCGAAAGGTCTCGGGTTCGATTCCCGATTCAGCGATTTTCGGATCTATATTTTTCTCTTGCATTCATTTATTTATTTTCCGTAGGGGGGTTAAAGGGGTATTGAAATTAAATCTCAAAATATGAGATTATTTCATATTTAAAATCTTGGCCGTGTCCAAGTAAAAATTTGGTGCCTTGTGCACCGGTATTTAATTCTAACGAAAAATTATTTAGTTTCGTTAGGATAACGCATTGTCATCCGCGATTTGGCTCTTGTTGCCCGTCTTATACGTTAAATTTATATTTATATTACAGAGCCTTGTTAAAACTCTTATATTTGATACACGCTGGCTTAAAAAATGCGTTTGTTTACCAACATTAATATATATAACAGAGAAAAGTATAGAATCGAAAGGATCTGAATAGCTCAGCTGGAAGAGCAGTCGCCCGGCAAGCGAAAGGTCTCGGGTTCGATTCCCGATTCAGCGATTTTCGGATCTATATTTTTCTCTTGCATTCATTTATTTATTTTCCGTAGGGGGGTTAAAGGGGTATTGAAATTAAATCTCAAAATATGAGATTATTTCATATTTAAAATCTTGGCCGTGTCCAAGTAAAAATTTGGTGCCTTGTGCACCGGTATTTAATTCTAACGAAAAATTATTTAGTTTCGTTAGGATAACGCATTGTCATCCGCGATTTGGCTCTTGTTGCCCGTCTTATACGTTAAATTTATATTTATATTACAGAGCCTTGTTAAAACTCTTATATTTGATACACGCTGGCTTAAAAAATGCGTTTGTTTACCAACATTAATATATATAACAGAGAAAAGTATAGAATCGAAAGGATCTGAATAGCTCAGCTGGAAGAGCAGTCGCCCGGCAAGCGAAAGGTCTCGGGTTCGATTCCCGATTCAGCGATTTTCGGATCTATATTTTTCTCTTGCATTCATTTATTTATTTTCCGTAGGGGGGTTAAAGGGGTATTGAAATTAAATCTCAAAATATGAGATTATTTCATATTTAAAATCTTGGCCGTGTCCAAGTAAAAATTTGGTGCCTTGTGCACCGGTATTTAATTCTAACGAAAAATTATTTAGTTTCGTTAGGATAACGCATTGTCATCCGCGATTTGGCTCTTGTTGCCCGTCTTATACGTTAAATTTATATTTATATTACAGAGCCTTGTTAAAACTCTTATATTTGATACACGCTGGCTTAAAAAATGCGTTTGTTTACCAACATTAATATATATAACAGAGAAAAGTATAGAATCGAAAGGATCTGAATAGCTCAGCTGGAAGAGCAGTCGCCCGGCAAGCGAAAGGTCTCGGGTTCGATTCCCGATTCAGCGATTTTCGGATCTATATTTTTCTCTTGCATTCATTTATTTATTTTCCGTAGGGGGGTTAAAGGGGTATTGAAATTAAATCTCAAAATATGAGATTATTTCATATTTAAAATCTTGGCCGTGTCCAAGTAAAAATTTGGTGCCTTGTGCACCGGTATTTAATTCTAACGAAAAATTATTTAGTTTCGTTAGGATAACGCATTGTCATCCGCGATTTGGCTCTTGTTGCCCGTCTTATACGTTAAATTTATATTTATATTACAGAGCCTTGTTAAAACTCTTATATTTGATACACGCTGGCTTAAAAAATGCGTTTGTTTACCAACATTAATATATATAACAGAGAAAAGTATAGAATCGAAAGGATCTGAATAGCTCAGCTGGAAGAGCAGTCGCCCGGCAAGCGAAAGGTCTCGGGTTCGATTCCCGATTCAGCGATTTTCGGATCTATATTTTTCTCTTGCATTCATTTATTTATTTTCCGTAGGGGGGTTAAAGGGGTATTGAAATTAAATCTCAAAATATGAGATTATTTCATATTTAAAATCTTGGCCGTGTCCAAGTAAAAATTTGGTGCCTTGTGCACCGGTATTTAATTCTAACGAAAAATTATTTAGTTTCGTTAGGATAACGCATTGTCATCCGCGATTTGGCTCTTGTTGCCCGTCTTATACGTTAAATTTATATTTATATTACAGAGCCTTGTTAAAACTCTTATATTTGATACACGCTGGCTTAAAAAATGCGTTTGTTTACCAACATTAATATATATAACAGAGAAAAGTATAGAATCGAAAGGATCTGAATAGCTCAGCTGGAAGAGCAGTCGCCCGGCAAGCGAAAGGTCTCGGGTTCGATTCCCGATTCAGCGATTTTCGGATCTATATTTTTCTCTTGCATTCATTTATTTATTTTCCGTAGGGGGGTTAAAGGGGTATTGAAATTAAATCTCAAAATATGAGATTATTTCATATTTAAAATCTTGGCCGTGTCCAAGTAAAAATTTGGTGCCTTGTGCACCGGTATTTAATTCTAACGAAAAATTATTTAGTTTCGTTAGGATAACGCATTGTCATCCGCGATTTGGCTCTTGTTGCCCGTCTTATACGTTAATTTATATTTATATTACAGAGCCTTGTTAAAACTCTTATATTTGATACACGCTGGCTTAAAAAATGCGTTTGTTTACCAACATTAATATATATAACAGAGAAAAGTATAGAATCGAAAGGATCTGAATAGCTCAGCTGGAAGAGCAGTCGCCCGGCAAGCGAAAGGTCTCGGGTTCGATTCCCGATTCAGCGATTTTCGGATCTATATTTTTCTCTTGCATTCATTTATTTATTTTCCGTAGGGGGGTTAAAGGGGTATTGAAATTAAATCTCAAAATATGAGATTATTTCATATTTAAAATCTTGGCCGTGTCCAAGTAAAAATTTGGTGCCTTGTGCACCGGTATTTAATTCTAACGAAAAATTATTTAGTTTCGTTAGGATAACGCATTGTCATCCGCGATTTGGCTCTTGTTGCCCGTCTTATACGTTAAATTTATATTTATATTACAGAGCCTTGTTAAAACTCTTATATTTGATACACGCTGGCTTAAAAAATGCGTTTGTTTACCAACATTAATATATATAACAGAGAAAAGTATAGAATCGAAAGGATCTGAATAGCTCAGCTGGAAGAGCAGTCGCCCGGCAAGCGAAAGGTCTCGGGTTCGATTCCCGATTCAGCGATTTTCGGATCTATATTTTTCTCTTGCATTCATTTATTTATTTTCCGTAGGGGGGTTAAAGGGGTATTGAAATTAAATCTCAAAATATGAGATTATTTCATATTTAAAATCTTGGCCGTGTCCAAGTAAAAATTTGGTGCCTTGTGCACCGGTATTTAATTCTAACGAAAAATTATTTAGTTTCGTTAGGATAACGCATTGTCATCCGCGATTTGGCTCTTGTTGCCCGTCTTATACGTTAAATTTATATTTATATTACAGAGCCTTGTTAAAACTCTTATATTTGATACACGCTGGCTTAAAAAATGCGTTTGTTTACCAACATTAATATATATAACAGAGAAAAGTATAGAATCGAAAGGATCTGAATAGCTCAGCTGGAAGAGCAGTCGCCCGGCAAGCGAAAGGTCTCGGGTTCGATTCCCGATTCAGCGATTTTCGGATCTATATTTTTCTCTTGCATTCATTTATTTATTTTCCGTAGGGGGGTTAAAGGGGTATTGAAATTAAATCTCAAAATATGAGATTATTTCATATTTAAAATCTTGGCCGTGTCCAAGTAAAAATTTGGTGCCTTGTGCACCGGTATTTAATTCTAACGAAAAATTATTTAGTTTCGTTAGGATAACGCATTGTCATCCGCGATTTGGCTCTTGTTGCCCGTCTTATACGTTAAATTTATATTTATATTACAGAGCCTTGTTAAAACTCTTATATTTGATACACGCTGGCTTAAAAAATGCGTTTGTTTACCAACATTAATATATATAACAGAGAAAAGTATAGAATCGAAAGGATCTGAATAGCTCAGCTGGAAGAGCAGTCGCCCGGCAAGCGAAAGGTCTCGGGTTCGATTCCCGATTCAGCGATTTTCGGATCTATATTTTTCTCTTGCATTCATTTATTTATTTTCCGTAGGGGGGTTAAAGGGGTATTGAAATTAAATCTCAAAATATGAGATTATTTCATATTTAAAATCTTGGCCGTGTCCAAGTAAAAATTTGGTGCCTTGTGCACCGGTATTTAATTCTAACGAAAAATTATTTAGTTTCGTTAGGATAACGCATTGTCATCCGCGATTTGGCTCTTGTTGCCCGTCTTATACGTTAAATTTATATTTATATTACAGAGCCTTGTTAAAACTCTTATATTTGATACACGCTGGCTTAAAAAATGCGTTTGTTTACCAACATTAATATATATAACAGAGAAAAGTATAGAATCGAAAGGATCTGAATAGCTCAGCTGGAAGAGCAGTCGCCCGGCAAGCGAAAGGTCTCGGGTTCGATTCCCGATTCAGCGATTTTCGGATCTATATTTTTCTCTTGCATTCATTTATTTATTTTCCGTAGGGGGGTTAAAGGGGTATTGAAATTAAATCTCAAAATATGAGATTATTTCATATTTAAAATCTTGGCCGTGTCCAAGTAAAAATTTGGTGCCTTGTGCACCGGTATTTAATTCTAACGAAAAATTATTTAGTTTCGTTAGGATAACGCATTGTCATCCGCGATTTGGCTCTTGTTGCCCGTCTTATACGTTAAAATAATATATTTTACCAATGATCACTTGGACGAACTTTAGCGATTTAAAAGCTTTTTTTTGCCGAGCTCCCTCCCAGGAATATAGCATTCCAACTTCATTTGAAATTGCTCTCGACATAATGGCTTTGATTACATGGGGAAGATCTGTGCCTCCAATTAAACGCAGTTAATGACTCTAAAATATAAAATTCACAAAATAAAAAAGTTCTTTATTAGAAAATAATTTTCATCATGTAAAATATAATCTAAATAATATATAATAATATAATTAAGTACACACCAGTGCATGTATGTTATCAGCTGAACTCGATAGCCATTCTTCCATCGACATTAATTCCTGCTCTGTAACGACTGGAAACGATTGTATTAAAGTCATAACAGCCGTATTAGTGTCATCATTTAGTTCTGGCTCATCAGCATATTGGGCTTTTTTTACAAGTATATTCACGTTATCCATAAGATCATTTAATTTAAGATTAATCAGATGAACTTCTTTAAGAAGTTGTTTTCTGAATTCTGAAAATTCTGAAAGTTAAGTTATATTGGATATTAAAATATTATACAAAAAGGAATATTTAAAAAATACAAAACATATAAAGAATAAAAATAATTATTTACCAGCATTTACGTGAACGCTATCTGTAGTTCGCTTGAAGTTATCTTAAAATAACAAGAAAATATTATCAATTTAATTAATAATGCTTATTTAACAGAATTGTTGTATAACAACAAACTTATTATATTAAGGCCGATAATACGTTGGTGAATTCAATGCAGAGCAGAAAAAATTTCAACATATGTATTCCTATGATAGTATGCTACAGCGGACTACGCTGGGCCTGTCGTAGCTTATCTACCATAGGAATATACAGGGTTTGTCCGGAAAGTAATGCGTCGCATTTTTTTAAAAAAGAATTTATTGATCGCATAGGTAAAACAACTTAAAATTGTTCGAAGTATGACCCTTCTGCGTCAATACATTTTTGCCAACGCGATTTCCATGCGTCATAAGATTTCTGGAACTCCTTGACTGGGATGCTGTTCAGGGAGGCCGTCGAAGTAGCTTGTACGTTGTCAACCGACTCGAGCTGTTGTCCTTTGAGCTCCCTTTTCAGCCGAGGAAATAAAAAAAAGTCCGCCGGGGCCAAACTTTCTTGAGCATTTCAAAAGTTTCCAGCGGCGTCTTGTCCAGCTTCACGCAAAACTTTATCGCATAGCGTTGCTCTATCGTTCTCTCCATCACAAGTTCGACGCGACCACTAAGCAGAGGTTCACAGAATAAGCCGTCCTAACCCTCCAAGCGCATGGAAACAATTGAGCGACCTACCGTTGGAAAGCTAAGGGTACCCCCCTTCCTCCCCAACCGGTCCCATCGCTCTGCGATGTATAGTCGCGTCACAAAAAAATGCGACGCATTACTTTCCGGACAAACCCTGTATGTATATGTTGACGACTTTTCCGCTCCGCATTGAATGTACCCATGTGCTACCGGCTTTAAAGTGGAATAAATTAATATAGAATTTATTTATTAACATTATTATTTAGATTAATTTATATTAATACTATTATATTATTTAAGTAATACTATTATTTATTATTGAAAAAATCAATATTGTTTTAAAATATTAATTTTTTAAATGTATATTATAATTGTTATCTAAAACCAAAATATTTAAATATAAATATAAAGTGGAATAAATTAATATAGAATTTATTTATTAACACTATTATTTAGATTAATTTATATTAATACTATTATTTAATTAATACTGTTATTTATTATTGAAAAAATCAATATTGTTTTAAAATATTAATTTTTTAAATGTATATTATAATTGTTATCTAAATATATTTATATTTAAATATTTTGGTTTTAGATAACAATTATAATATACATTTAAAAAATTAATATTTTAAAACAATATTGATTTTTTCAATAATAAATAATAGTATTAATTAAATAATAGTATTAATATAAATTAATCTAAATAATAGTGTTAATAAATAAATTCTATATTAATTTATTCCACTTTAAAGCCGGTAGCAGTATTTAAATATATAAATTGCTAAGCCGTATTTTCTTCAGTATATTGATCTGATTAATAATGTAATAATAAATATTTTACATAAAGGTTCAAGTTTTAAAAATACTTACGATTAGTAATATTTTGACTTTCCATTGGAGAGCGATCATTATCTGTTAAATATAAGGAAAATTAGTTTTTGAAAATAAAATGAATTCTTACTAGAAAAGTATTTATCTTATACCGTGTCTCTTGCCAGAAAGTGGTAATGTAGGGTATGTGTTGCTATCTTCATCAGATATCGATTCATAAGATTTATCAGTATCCGAGTAATCCTTATGTCCTTTACTTTTGCCTTGTCCCCGCTTATGTATTTTATTATTCTTTTTCGTTAAAATCTCCGTATGTGATGAAAGATCATCTGTACATTGGGCTTTAATTGCCTTTCTTTTAGCAAGTTTTAAATCACCTAAATAAACATTACTTATTATATATCCAATAACAAAGAATATAACTACCATATTGTTGTACATTATAGAATTGCATATTAAATAAATGTGTGGTACAAAATAACAATGTAATTATTATAAGTTTATGATAATTACAAATAAAAGAAGATATTCCATGATTAATAACAGTGTGTGTGTGTGTGTGTGTGTGTGTGTGTGTGTGTGTGTATAATTCTTTATACATATATTAATAAATTAATAATTCTTTTATAAAAATGTTATACAATTTTATATAATATAAACAATAACATATTTACCATATGTGCCTAAAATAATTGCTCCGTATTTCATCCAGTTTGAATCAGGACTATATTCATTTTTTATAGCTGCTTTAATAGCTGTAGTATCATAATTTTGTGGTGGCCAATAGCATGCAGATTCTTTTAACAAAAACCATTTTTTCGGTATTGCCTCAACAGTGTCATCCTCTTTGAATCGAACGACAAGCCAAGTCATCTATATACACATATTAATCAATTCTTAAAAATTCCTAAAACTCAAATTCAATTATTAAAAACTTCTCTAGTAGACAATGAAATAAACAAATAGAGATATGTCATTTGAGAAAAACTATGATTTAGCAAATAGATCAAGATCACTTAAAGAATAAAATAAATATCATAACTGACTCTTCTTTGAAAAAACTTTATGTTCGCACCCTTTGTCGCACACGATAATTTAGACACACCGTATCGGTGTTGGCCTTGATAGTCGACGGAGGAGTTATCGCTTCTCAGCGACAGGGAAAGACGGTGATAACTCGAAGGACCAAGAATAGAAAAAGGAGAGCGTAGGTCGATTGGTACTCGACGCTTTCGCGCCGATAAGGAGGAGTGAAGTCAGTGGCTTGCAAGGCCGAGAATGAAGTTAATAGTTCTTTGTTGATTAACACACTCGGTTTAATTTTAAACAATAAACTTTGTACTCAATAGATAAACAGATATAATCGAAGACCCGGAGCAAGATCAAGAGTATAATCGGGATTGAGTTGCTCGAACGCACTCGCCTGCGACCTCACTGTTCGAGCTTCGCCGATTGTCTGAAAATATTGAAAATTCGCTCGGTAGCGCGAGGCCCGATCACACTCCGATCAGGCCCGTTCGTAGTACGGAGCAGGTGACTCGCACGAGTGTCAATCGTGATCGCGACGTGGTCGTGCTTAGTATTATTTGCTCGTACGTATACAGGATTTAACTTGTGCCTATATTAGGAAGAAACAAAACAAAACCTTTTTTTTTTTTTTTTTTTTTTTTTTTCAACAAAATCGTCGAACATGTCGATACGGTTTGCTCGTGCGCGAACAGAAATCTTTTTCGTTACTTTTATTCTCAACATGCTAATTTTTTATTTTAAAATTTTTATGGGCTACAGATATTCAGATTTAATTACTTGATAACCTGATAGTAATCAATTTCGGATCTCAATCTAAACTGAACTTTTATCTATCAACGAATAAATATATCTCAACGAATAAAATTCAGTGAAAAAAAATTAGTTATAAAATTTACACAATTTAACAAGAGAGTTTTTTAAAATATAATTATTGAAAGACTAGAGAAAAGGAATATTTTTTTAAACAAATAAAATACATATGTAATAAAGAAATTAATAAAAAATAAAAAATTTAATGCAAAACTGATCAATTGATTATTATATTATAATAAATCTGAATTAAGTATATTTTGAGACTTTATACTAATTAAATAAGAAAAATAACTTATAAAATTAACTTTTCGTTAGCTTGTATGTTATTTTTCTTTTCTAGCTAGTATAAAGTTTCCAAATATTTAAATTAAAAATTATCAAATATTTTATGTTTAACTAACTATTGAAAAATGTGATCGATTATTATTTATTATAAAATTATTTAAGACAATTATAAATGCAGTAGAGGATATGCAATATATTGATCATTATATGGTAAAACTAGTAATTTTCTTTTGATCTTATCAAATCTCCACATTTGAAATATAGTATTATATTTTATAATAACTTTAATATCAAATAATGAAGAAAAACATGGTTTTGAATAAAAATCTTTGTGAGGAATATACTTGATACCTATTAAAAATATTTCATTTTGATATGATGCAAAATTTAGTATTTCAACGATAGTTGAATCGGTCAATTCGACAAATCGATCAGCTACTTTTAAAATATTTAAGCAATAATTAATCGTTTTAAGTTTCCTGTACTGCGGAGAAGTGCAATTATTTATTAATGGACCATTAAAATGTTCCTGCAATAATGTTATGGAATTATCATTTACAAATTGTATTGGTTGCAAAAAATTATTATCCTCACTAACTCTACACACAACTTGTTGTAGCTGCTGCGAATGTCTACGGATATACTTTTTCAACTTTTGCATATGATTTTCAAATGCAAAAGCACTGAATTCATCAAGTGAACCAAATAAACGTACACAATCACTTAAATGCAATAGACTATGTATGTTGTGTGAAATAAAATCGGGTCCATAAATTTTAATTGAATTCTTAATAAAATATTTTATTAGGTTTTCGGCATATGAAATATAATTTTCAAATTTTGTGTACTGATTACTTATCAATATTGAGCTAGCTAAACTTAGCATAAGAAAATTATTATACTCTTTTAATGGTATTACTTTCTTCAAAACTATTGGGCCTGTATATAACAGAAAAAGTCTAAATTCGGTCGCCTTAAATCTTTTACATTCGTTTATTGGCCGAGTTTTTCTTGCAAATTCACAAGGAATATATTTTTTTAAAACCTGAAGATTATTGTTAATTTTATTAATATTTAAAGCACGTAATTTATGAGGAGGCTTGCCAAATATCCATCCATAACGCTTACAACATAACAACCTTTTTGTTGCACCCAATAGAAGATTATGCATATAATCAAAAGGTACATTATCAATCATATTAAAATTGGGAATTTGAAGCCAAAGTGTTTCTCCTGTGTGGTGTTCGATTTGAAGGGTATTTCTAAATGAATGATCTGTTTTTTTTTTAAATTTTCAGTTTCAACGAAGCATAAAACGTTATTAACCATATCCCCTTCCTGATCACACTTCGTACATGAGAAATAACCTCAATGACTTTTAATAGATAAAATGTGAGATTTGGCCGGGGTATCACAAATTAACATTGAAATTTTGAATTTACATAAAACAGATTGTATCATTATTCCATTTGATAATTTTATACATTCTTCTACAAAATCCTTTAAAAATTCATTGGCTTTAGGTTTTTCATTTCCATAATGTAAAGCTATTATGAATACTTGATTTTTTAGATTTTTAATTGATTTAACTGTACCCAAAATTAGCCAAAAGGAACTTGATGTGCTTTTTGTTAAAGGCAGCCCGTCAATATTAATTGCGAGAAAAAATTCTGTATTTTGATCGACAGTTATATTATGTTTCAAAGATAAAAAATTTAGTGACTTGCGTATACCAAAATAATGATATGAATTATTTAAAGAATTAGATTTGCGGGGTGTTTTCAAAATAGTACGTGGATCAGCTGGCAAGATATTAATTAATGATGGTTCTTCGCGTAGTATATCTAATAACTGTTTAAATGCAGTTAAACTAACATTTCTGTCAATAGACCATTTTCCTAATTTTGTGGAAAGAGATTCCTTAGGCTTAGCAAATAATGGAGGTGAAATATTAGTATCATTACGTTGCTGTAAATCATTAAGAAAAGAATAATCATTCTGTTCCAAATTATTGCTTTGATTATTTAATAAAATGTTATCATCATTTAAAAAATCATTATCATTATTATCATTATTATCATTATTATCATTAAAATCATTATTATCAATAACAATTTCATTATCAACACTATTATATATTTTTTTACAATTCTGATTATAATATTCATCTAAGAATATTTCATTATTTGCTAATTGATCCGTTTCACTAATTGTTGCTAATGACAGATGAAGTTTTTCATTAACTTTCCGACATAATTTTTCTCTTTGACTTTTTTTATTAGGCATTTTGAATTATATTCAGAGAGACACAAGAAAATTAAATAGATAAAAAGTGCAATAAAGATTTATAGATCCGAATGATTGAATCGAAGTTGAACGTAATATCCAAAAATATAAAATAATTTATAAAGAACCTTTATACTTTATAAGATAGCTGAAACAAACAATATTAGAAAGAAAATTACAACTTTATATATAGCAAATTGTTTGAATATGTTTAAACTTATACTATTTATAAACTATAAATAACCAATATATGTAGATTTTATTCATCACTTACATGTAATGCAAATGTATATTATAGAACTATATATTTTATATTAACAAATTTGCCCATACAGCATGCATATTGAAAAGACGTTCAGAAGATATCTTCAGAATATCTTCTAAACGTCTTTTGAATATGCATGTTGTATGAATAAATTTATTTATATAAAATGCATAATTCTATTGCTTTTAAAAAGTTGTACTAACTTCTCAATTTTTGTATTGTACAAATATATATTATTTTCAATTCTGTTTAGGTCCAATTTTTAAGTTATTTTATTTCTTAAATTTATTATTTCTAATTTAGTACCCTAAAGATATCCCGAAGATATCTTCTGAATGTCTTTTGAATAAGCATGCTGAGTGGACATATACTAAATTGAAATTTATTAAATAAAATAACTTAAAAATTGAACCTAAACAAAATTGAAAATAATATTATATTTGTATAAAAATTGAAAAGTTAGTATAGCTTTTTAAAAGCAATAGATTTATGCATTTTATATTAACCAAATTTATTCATGCAGCATACATATTCAAAAGACATTCAGAAGATATCCCGAAGATATCTTCTGGATGTCTTTTGAATGAGCGTGCTGTATATATAAGTACTATAAATTAAAATTAAAAAAATAAAATAACTGAAAAATT